GCTAGCTGGTACAAATTAGCATAACACCATGGAAGTAAATGTACAGATTCACACCAGTCTACAGAGATCAAAGGCAACTGAGTTAGGAATTGCTGAATGGTTATAGCTATAAATCAAGTCCAGAAAAGATGCAGGTGGTTAACCCTTCAAGTCAAAGGAGGTGTATTAGAGAGAAAGCAAAGTCAGAGATTTGACAGGCAGGGAGCCCTAGTCTAGTGGAAAGATATATATGGACATCTGGGAGTTAATGAAATAATGTAGAAGTTAAATTACAAAAAAACACAGACAAATAGCAAATGAAATTCAAATGCAAGGCTCCTCAATGAAGTTTTCATCAGGATTCACTAATCTTATACAAAATGTAAAAGAATGGAATAAGTGATGGGGAAACCTTCATGCCTTCCTCTACAGCACTGTGCTGCCTATAATACTATCATGATAATGCTCTAGTACTGTGGAAGACTTTCCCTTCCATTAGATCCCTCTCAAACAAAATACCTTTCAGCTCTATCAGACTTGTCCACTACACAAAAACTTAATAAAGGACCTTGTATCCCTTTAAAACAAGGGCTTGCTTGGCACATCTGACTGTTGCACATTCCATGCATTTGGGAATTTATTCTGCTTTAACACTTCAGAGGTGAGTGTTAAGATTTTCAACCAAAGGTTAAAAACCTACGAGAAACAGCAGCAAACATTCTACCCGTTAGTACTATGAAATCATGGAATGTGCCTGTGACTATCTCATGTTGTTGGGGCTTATTTTGCATCTTAAAGTTCAAAATAAATATTGTATGACATTGCAAATAGGTTCATTCAAGTGATGTAAACCAGCATGGAGAGGTATATTGCTGTCTTTTTATTTTTGCTTTTGTGTATTGCTGCTGTTGCTTTAGACACCTATAACAAGAAGCCTATGGCTCCTGTTGCTTAGAGAGGGAAAAACATGCTTGGACAGACAAATAAGGGGTAGCTGCAAAGGGATGAGACAGCCAGAGGCCAGAAGCTGAAAGTGCCTATTGCAATGCTAATTGTACAATAGCACAATAGGAGAGAGTACTGCTAGGGCAGGTGCTGCTATAGTAGCAAGGCTAGCAACAACTAGCTACTCATTAGAATGAAAGGCAGCTGTGTCAGGGCTAACAAGTCACTGGATTGAAAACAGACAGGGCCTGAGCAGCATATAAACTAGGCCTGGAACCAAGGTGGTTAGTCTGGCCCTGTAGGCCAAAGGTAGAAGAGTGCTGCAGTAAGATGCCTGTTGCAAGGATCAGGGACTGGGACCCAAAGTACAGGAAGGACAGAGATGGTGCCTAGCGCACTATTGCTCAAGGAGAGTGGAGATAGGGTTAGAGAGCCCGCATACAACAAGGGTGGAGGCAAAGCTAGAGGCTCACAGCCCTAAGAGAGGTGAGATCAGTGCCAAGGGGCCCAAGGAAAATTAGAGGCATATAGAGACTTGAAGGACTGAAAATACAGGTATTGAGGCCTGGATCGTAGGAAAGGAGATTGGGGTGGAGTCCCCATGGATGTGATTAAAAGTTAACATCTGTGAGGCATGGGCAGGATGAACAGACCGTTAAAAATTAAAAAGCAAAACCAAGTGAGGCAATCCAGTTGTAAATAAGAAAGTTGGGAAAGATGGCTCAAAGATAAATGTTTGCATGATATTATTTATGTAGTTTGCAATTCCAATGGTCCTTTTATTGGCTTGATGGAATCACACTAGTTCTGGAGTCATAAATTTCAGCCTACACTCTATTAGCTGCCACAGCAACTCAACAGGTTCTCTGAGGTCCTTTATAATGTCACTGTTTTGCAATTTGATAGCAACTGCAGTTTCCTAAAGGGTACTAGGAAAGCAGAGCAAGTCTTGCTTTCTTTTCCATTCTCCCTACACCTGGCTAAAGAGATTCATTGTCCTGAGGGCAAAAGATACAAGGAATATATCACAATAGATATGCTAAACTCCAATAAATAAAGAGATTTGGTTGAAAAAAGTGCGGCTGTTTCTTCTTTCTCTTAATGTGTAAGAAACATATCACATTGTTTACTTGATAAAAGATGATAGATTAATGGCTACTATGTGACTTGTGCAGCATGATAAGATATTTGAGCACTGTCAGATATAAACATAAATGGGCTATTACAGTCTTTCCAGTCCTAAGTTTGGAAAGCATCAGTACAGGTAGGTCTTCAGATGAAAATCAGTTCAGTTCTTCAAATACAAATACATGATCCCAGGAGAATCTTGTGGTTTGAGGAAACGAGTGAGAATTATGACCTCTGGGTTTTTTCTGGCTGTTTTCCTTTTTGTGTGAGACATTCTGTGATCAAATGGTTTCATATGAGGATGTCCAAATATAGACACCTAAATCTTTTCTCAGATACCTAAATAATTTTTCTGCTCTGCAGAGACCAATTCCCCACAACTGCCAATTAAATCAACTATCAACTGAAGCTGTGGGAATCACTATCCCTTTTTTTTTTTTTTTGCCTTGAGCACTCAGGTGCTCAATGGGGAAGGTTCAAGGCCTGTAAATGGAGACTGCAACTAGAGTGGCAATCAGCAATTCTGGGAGAAGCCCCTCAAAGAGTTTGTTTCTAATAAAGCACTGTAACATGGAATTTTAAAACTTGGAGCCTAACTTGAGATCTGCTTATGGACACCTAAATAATTAGCCTGATTTATAGAAATGTTGATTACACCCAGATGCCTTGGACTTAAATTGGGATTGGAGTTGCTCAGTACTTGGAAACTTTTGTCATAGTATCTGGAATGCATCTTTTGCTATCTGTGAGAAATATACTTGAATTAATCTGTATTAGGGGACTCTGAAACCTCATTTGTTCATTCTCAGGAGAGACTTGTTATTGAGTATATTAGCTAAATTTTCTGGAGAGCCAGAATAGACCCAGTCCTATTTCAACTCCGAGGTGCCTTGTTGTGATCCTAGTCCATCCTGCTCAAGTCCCTCAAAAATAGTTAATGCAAAAGGTGGGTGTGTCATCCTGCTCTCTGCTTTTTATGACTTGGTTTTAAGGATAAGATGATGGCTGTGTAACAAAAGTAGGCACTTATTTTTCAGGGATATAAGTAGAGTGGAATAGGATCACACTTAAGCTTGCAAGTCCACTTGAATGAATAATGGATGGAATAGGATCCAATCTGCACTGGGTATGCTTTAGCTTGTCACAGCCTCTAAATGTGGTTGAACTGTGCATGAACCATCCTCCCAGGGTAATGTGATGACCCAGGTTTGCCTGATGTTTATTGTGAGTAAAATAATAATTGAATAGTTAATTGGGACTTTTATCACTAGAGAATTAGAGCATGAAACTATAATGGCAATCCATCTAGTTTAATGGTAAGAAGGCTTTGTTAACAAGCCTGTTGTCTTTTTTGACAATATTTCATATCCAATTGATAAAAGCAACTGTAATAGAGTATGCTTGCAATTTTTCAATGCATTTCACTTAGCACCTCATTACATTTTTATTAAAACCCATTAATGCTGCAGAATTAACAGGGCATATATTAGACTGAATAAACATGACCAAACTGACAGATTTCAACATTACTTTCTTTAAAGGGGAATAGCAATATAGGGGGCCATTTCTGGCAGGACCCTGCCAAGGAAGGACTGGTTCTTTGTCTAATGCAGCTTGCTATTTTTTGTCCAAGACACTGGTGTTAATATAAAATCTCTGGCAGTTTGCAGACCAGAATACCAGGGTGGCAGGTAATAAGGCAAACAGATTACTGTTACAGAAAGGTGTAAATCATTTGGTTAAATGTTCACATTTTCACAAAATGCATTCTAATTCAGCCAAATACAATCAATGGGAGAACCAAGAACGCAGATTATCCAGTATGCAGGAGGATGGGAATGTTTTGGAGAACAAAAAAGGACTTGAATTATGGTAAGTAATTACTTCAAGAGGTGTTCTTATTGCCATGCTATGACAAAAACAGCTAATACAATCTTTAGATGCATAAAAAAAGAGCAATACAATGTAAAAGACAGGATCTTGCCTCAGTACAGAATTGGTAATAGCACTACCAGAAAACCGTATCCAGTTTTTCTGTTCACATTTCAAGGGGGCAGGCAAATTTTAATGTCTTGTAATTTACAGGAGGCAGCAAGATACAAGATGATGATTTCTTTGGCATTTGAACTCTATGAAGTTATGATTTGTTAAGGGACAGAGCACTCCTAGATATGACTGAAGTAAATGAAACCGGGGTTGAGAACAGAAAAATGCTTTAAAATCCTCAATGGAAGAAATTACAATATAGGCGTATCATACCATGCACTCGAAATTAGTTGATGCTTTTGAGTAATATGTGTACTCTCTGAGCGGGGCCACGGCTGAGTCAAGTGTGGGCTGCTTGCCCCTAGACTGAACTATAGGGCTGGGAGACCTTAAGGGTCCATGGCTCCAAACGACCTGCTACAAATGCAGGACGGCTTCTCCTTATCATCCCTGGTCAAAGCTTACACAGCCTCCTTTGGAAACCTCCAGTGAGGAAGACCCCACAGCAATTCCCCTGGGCTGCTGATGCTTGCGCCTTGAGGTCCTAACAGCAGGAATCAGAATTAAGCTGGCATTTCCAAACCCACAAGCATTTTGCTTTGTCATTTGAGCAGCGCTTGTAAAGTGCAGGGTGAAGAACAATGCCAAGGTCTGCTTCACTAGTCACACACCCACCACCCCACAGCTGGGTCACCTCACACACTGCAAGAGGCTGCTCCCTCCTTCTTCTCCTTCTCCTTCTCCTCCTAGCGCCTCTGGTTACCACCCACCTGACCAGCCCTGTCCCACTAGGGGCTATCCCATGCTGCCCCTCTCCCTCAGCCTGTAACCATAGCACCCCGATCCCATGATGCTCCTCTCCCCTCAGCTTGTAACTATGGCACCCGGCCCCACCCCCTCGCTCCAGGTCCCACGAGGCCCCGCCCCCCACACACGCGACCAGAGGTGGGGCAGGGGGCGGGTCCGGCGGGCACTAGTGGCGCGTGCGCATTGGCGCCTGACGCGTGCGGAGCTTGCGCCAGAGAGGCCCCGGGTCTGTTTGCACTAGTGAGGCAGCTGCAGCCCTTCCCAGCGCCATGTCGGACCGGCTCAGCAAGCCCACGTGCCTCATCGTCGCCAGCTCAGCCGCCGCGGGTGAGTGGCCTCCCGAGCCAACCCTCGTCCCCCACGCGGACAGTGCGCATGCTTTGACTGCAGCCCCCGTGTAGTGCGCATGCTCTGTCCTCTGACTCCCTTCCGTGGGCAGTGCGCATGCTCCGCCTCCTCGCAGGCGTTTGGGAGGGGTCCCCTGTGCCTCCTTTCCGCGGCGGGCAGTGCGCATGCTCATGAAGGGCAAGCCTCCTAAGACACGTGCTGGGCGCGTGCCAGCTCTTGGCGGGGCTGGTGCCACGTGGCTCTGCAGCCCGGGCGGATTGGGAGGGTCCCGGCCCCGGCTGCTGCGCCCAGGCCTTGCCCTGCCCTGCTTGCTTTGGCTGGGGCACGTCCACGGTACAGGTGTCTGCGCCCGTTCCCAACTTGCCACCGTGCAGCTGGTGCCCATCAGTTCTGTGGGGCGAGCTGTGGGTGGCTTGGCCACTGCGAGGGGCTCCCCTGAATAGGTCTTGGCTGCTGCATGCAGGGCCTGCAATGCTCTTCTTGTTCCTTGTCCAGGTGCCGGGGAGAGTCCTGGCTGTGGCGCTTGGAGCCACTTCAGTCTGCCTGGGTACCCTGGCCTCAGCCTGCCCGAAGGCAGGGAAAGGCAGTGTGGGCCAGCCCTGGTGGCAGGCATGCCACAGATTAAGCCCTGCGCCCTCCCTGAGGGTCACTCCAGTCGCCTGCCCTGCTCACTGCTCTGTTTTCTGCTCCCTGACAGGTCTGTTACTGTATTCCCTGCCTCCTCCCTGTCTGCCACATGCCACTCACAGAGGCTGCCTTTAGCACTTGTGGTGCCCGTGGCAGGGGTTGGCCACCACTGCCATAATTTCATAGTTACTATCTCATCTTCTGACTGACTTCAGACTTACGTCACCTAACTACTCTACATCTGTAAACTGAGGCTAACAGTATCTTCATGTCTCCCTGCGGTATTGGTGGTGGTATTGTTCATTACGGCTGGTGAATCAGTTAGTTCCCGTACTCATGGGAAGGAGTTGTAAAATGCATAAGTGGCTGCAAGTTGTCCTGCATGGACCTGCAATGTCTAGTAAGAACTGTGATTTTGGTGAGGCTTGCGGCATGATCCTTTTCTATGCCTGGTCGCTCTTATGGGAGTTCTTTGGAAAGGGCATAGCTTGGTTCCCTTTCTCTGGAGAATGGCCATTAGCTTTGTGGGCTGTTACTTGTGGGTTGGGGGGGAGCTGCTGTTAACTTTAATTTCTTTAAATCTGAGGTGACTTGTTCTTACTTTTTCTGCACCAGTCTGTACAGTATATTGCAATAGGTGATGTCAAGTTAAAAGGGTCCAAATTTCTTATCTTTGTGAATACAGAGCATTCTGCTTGCGTAGAGATCTTGGGAGCCTTTAAAATGAATTGGAGATTCAGTTAACATGTGTTAGTAGACCAGATGTATGCAGTATAGTTGGGTTTAAGATGCAGTGATTTTAGTTTGTTTATTTTTTTAATTGTCCAACTCTTTTTTCCCTAGGGGTGTCTGCCCAATCCTTCCTTCACTCTTTCACGCTGGCTAGCTCTGCTTTTAATCTACAAGTTGCCACACCAGGGGTAAGTGAGAGGTCACAATCATTGACACCATTATGTGCTTTGAGGATCTGGAAGCAGCCGGTACCTGGTGAATGGAGTTGTTTGTAATATAATGGGTTATAAAAAGGTTTGTAATAAAGAGGAGCTTTGCTTCTCTCTATAGATTAAGTCAATGAGTCCTCAAGCCCTTCGACCCTTGTTTTAGTTTAGACATATTCTAACCCCGTTACACTCAGTTGCATTCCTTATATGTACATTGTAAACCTGTGCATAATTCTTAGCAAAACTGGGGGCTTTCCTGGTACTTCTCAAAAGTTTTGGAAGTGGAGACCTTGGTAATTAGTAGCAATAATGAAATGTTCTCCTTTGTTATGGTCTCTTGACAAATGCTGACAGATTCTAAGAACTTGGAAGATGACTCCTATAAGTAGGGTCTGGTTTATATTGTGGGCCCAGCTGGCTGATACTGTGGCCCGATTGTGATGAGGGCTGCCATTTTCACACCTAGATTGGGGGCTGTTTGTATCGTTGGCTGCTGCAGGCTGGAGAAAGCATTCCTCAGCCAGCAGCAAAAGCCTGGCAACCCAGGGGAGGGGGGAAGGGCTCAAATGGGACAGGGGGAAGAGAAAGGATGGAGGCAGGTAGGGGAGGGGATGTTTGCTTCTCTAGGTGGGAAAACCAAGGGCTGGGGGTATTGTGGGCACCCGGGAAGCTTCCTTGGCAGAAGACCCTGGCACCAGGTACTTGACATCCTCTGCACAAGTGTTCTCTCCCCTTGCCCCCCAATCCTCGGTGCCCCAGTTTTCCTACCCAAAGAAACAAACTGCTCTTCCCCTGCCCAGTGCAAGGGCCCTCCAAGCCTGCAACAGCCATCTTGTTGCGATGAAATGCCATGATATGGCCACTTGCTGAGGAACTCCATTAATTTAATTTAGTGATTTCCCACCTCCGCCCTTCCCCCCCCCCTCCCAAAAAATTTGAAATTGGAATTTTAACCAGGCCCTACTTATAAGGGAGAAAAATTGGGTATTGTGTTCATGGCTGCTTTGTTGTGCACAAAAATGCCTGAAATGTTGAAGAAAAGGGAAAACAAAGAATTTCTGGTCTTTTTTGCCTTGGAAGGCTACCAGTTAGAGAACTAGGGAAATCACAGCATCATGAGAATCAAGAGAATGAAAACTGAGCAATAAAGAGAGGAAGAGGTTTTAATCTAATTCTTTAAAACTTAAATCTGGATTTTCTATTCTATCTACTTTCTATTTGGTAAAGCTAAGAGAAACCTTAAAGGAGCCTGGGTTGTGTCTCTAATTCTTAGGCTTGATGTTTTCCGCACTAACTCAAGGGTTGTCAGCCATGTTAGACTTGAGCTACACGTTGGAAAATGCCAGCTCTTGGCTTTTACTCTCTTTTTTGACTACTGGAAAATAATAGAGCAGTTCTTCTGTTACAAAGAACTTGGACTACAGTAGGTCATGTTTTTGACACTATGGATTCCTATCTGAAATATTTGGGTTTAGCTTGTGAATCATGTGCAAGTGTTTACACATCTAACATGCTTATATTGTGTGGCACCCCATGGCACCCTGGTTGAGAATCACAGCTCTGATTTATATTCTGATTACAGTTGGCAGTATTTAGTATCTCAGTTGGGGACAGAGGTATCACTTCTGTCTCTGATGCCTTAGGTCTTGCAGTGTTGTGTGTTCAGCTGAGTGTGGGGGTGGGGGTGCGCGCAGGTCTGGCAGACTGGGTATACTAGCTCTGCATCAACTGAGAGTTCCTCCTGATCTGGAGGAGTTCTGTTTCCAGATCTGGCTACTGTCTTCATGCCTCTCGTGAGCAGTGCAGAATGGCTGGAAGATCTGAAAAAAATCTTGCCTTTGGTGTTTTGTTAACTGTTTAATTGTACTGACTAATGCCTTGATCAAAGCAGACAAGGTTCCTTGGGTGAATTTGATATCTTTTATTAGACCAACCCAAATAGTTGGAGAATAGTTATTACGCAAGCTTTCGGGTTCAAAAACCCTTTGTCAGGCTAAGGAAGTTTCAGCAGTTGTTGTGTGCTCTTCCTGGATGGAATGAAAAGTAAAGAAGCCAGAGGCTGGGCTGGGGAGTCAGTTTGATCAAAGCATGTGTTTTTGTTTAAATATTTGGATTTTTTTTTTTCCTTTTTAAGGTGTTAAAAGGAAAACCATTGTGTCTGCCCACACAGAGTCAATCATGGGGTCATTTCTGATACTGAACATAAATTTCTTTTTTACTTAGTTGTGTGGATTAATGGAAAGATAAATTTGCATGCGCTTCACTGCAAATCATCCCCTCATTATAAAAGGTTCAGTAAATAACTTTTCGCTTTTAGTGTGACCTTGTAGGTTTTTGGTCATAGTTGTATGTAATGAAAGGTTGTCTTTTGCAGTTAAAGTGAAATTGTATTTGTGTAAAGACAATTAAAAAATAATGACTTGTTTTAATCCTGCATTGAGGCTTTCTCTTTGCCTCATACCCAAACTAGTAACCTGAATCAGTTGCGTCTATCCAACAAGCTCTGTGTGCATGTACGAAGTTAAAATCAGCAGCTAACACAGTAACACCAATGTAAAGAGATGATTTCCTGTGTAGCAACATTTCTGTGTCATGTTTGGGGGCTAGCATTGGGCAGTTTTCAGATGTTATGAACAGATGTGTTCCAAACTGCAAGGGTACAGATATTTCTAGCCAAAAAAGAGCTTGACCCTTGAAAAAGAGGAACATTTTTAAAGAACTTTATTTTGAAGTGCTGCCTGAAAGATATGCATGCTCCTAGCCTACACAACACACTGTTCTATTCCTCATTCTACCCCAGACCTGGGATTCAAAGCACTTCAGATGTATGTCTGTCTGTACTCTTAGGTAGTAGACTAAGTGAACGTAGGCTCTTACTAAGTATGTTTTTCATGCAAAAGCCTCTTTGAACCAGTTCATAGGTCCCTTCTGACCCTACATCTACGAATCTAAGTAGATCTTCAAGTCTGACCCCCTGCCCTAGGCAGGAGAGAATACTGGGCTCGTATGACCCCAGCTAGGTAATTATCCAGCCTCCTCTTAAAGACCCCTAAGGTAGGAGCCCTTGGAAGTTGGTTCCAGATCCTAGCTGCCCTGACTGTGAAGTAGTGCCTCCTAACGTCCAGCCTAAACCTACTCTCAAACAACTTATGGCCATTATTCCTTGTTACTCCGGGAGGAGCTCGGGAGAACAGGGTCTCTCCCATTCCCCGCTGGTCCACCCTGGTAAGTTTATCGACGGCCACTAGGTCCCCTCTTAGCCTTCTCTTTTGAAGGCTGAACAGGTTCAGGTCCCATAGCATCTAATCGTAGGGTCTGCCCTGCTGTCCGTGGATCATGCGAGTGCCCTCCTCTGGACCCTCTCAATGCTGGCCACATCCCTCCTAAAGTGTAGCGCCCAGAACTGGATGCAGTACTCCAACTGTGGCCTGACCAGGGTCACATAGAGGGGGAGGATCACCTCCTTGGCCCTGCTCGTGATGCATCTGTGGATGCACGACAAGGTGTGGTTAGCCTTCCTGATCACATCCTCACATTGGCAGCCCGTGGTCACTTTGGAATCAATAATGACTCCAAGATCTCTTTCTGCCACTGTGCTTTTGAGAAGGGAGTTCTCCAGCCTGTAGGTATGCTGCTTGTTCTTACTGCCCAACTTTGTCAGTATTGACTCTCATCCTATTCTCATGTGCCCACCCCTGTAACCTGTCCAGGTCCAGTTAGTCTTCTGGTGCCACCCTACCCTGCCTTTTGCCTGACTTCAGACTAATGCAGCTAACTTTCTCACTGATCATATAAGCAATACATAATAATCTTGATAGCCAGTAGACTTTAGGTTAATTTAAAAAAGAAAAAAGGTATTTTTGCAGTTCCATTTTTCATGTTGTTCAGAAATGAAAATGAATAATAGAGTTTAAATAATTTACATTTGCTTTTAGATCAGTAATTCAAATTTGCAGTAGGCAAAGAAAAACTAAAATTACCATCTGGCAAATGTTTAATGTTCTCCTAGTTTCTATCAGTCTAGATTTTCAAATGTTAACATTACTATTGTTAATCTTTTGAGAATAAAGGCTCACTACTTGCCATGGAAAAAGTCATGGATTTATTAGAGCAAACAAATGGAATGGTGAGAATCTTAGTTTAAAATAAATGATGCATAAAAACATACCTGTGGGGATTTTTAGTCCAGCAGAGTAGTAATAGCTTAAAAGTATATAAAGATAAATCACAAAAATAATAATAAAAACAAATATATACAAATTCATGGAACTGTCTTATCTTTATAGCTGTCAGCCAAGACTGATAAAAGTCGTCTTATGGTGGGGGGGGAAGAACCCAAGTCGCAGAATTTGCCAAAGAAATGAAATAACCTTTTTATTGCTATAGAGTTCTTTTTACAATCTAGTTGATCTAGCCAGGTCACCAGCAACTGAAAACTCTAATGGTTACCTGGTTGAAATACATTCAGGCAGTCATAGAAATCTTTTCTACATTTGGCATGTTGGCTTCTTGAACAACTTTATTGCTTTTCCCCTAAGAGGGGAAAAAAAACAACCTTGTAGTTTTGTCAGTATAACTGCATTTATATTAGGGGCTTTTGCTGTCTCACGTGTCATCAGAGAGGATTCACCTGACCGGCATGACTGGCAAAAATCTAATAGGTAAATCATAGATACAGCCCTTTACTAGGTAAGCCCTTCAGGCCAAGGTTAAGGCATCTTGCGGTGAGACCTATTTTTTCTGTAAACAGAGTCCGTTTGGACTTTAGTGAATATTTAGCTGTTTTTTTAAATAATAAAAACAAAACCCAAGAGGCATACTGGACAGTGGGAAATAAATTAAACGGACAACTATGTACTGATGTTAACTGCTGTCTTTGAATCATGATTTCATTAGGGGAAGCCAATTGACTTTGTAGATGTGAATGACAGCAACTTGCGCTGGATACAAGACTTCCGGATGAAATCTTATGCAAATCCTGCGAAATTGGAGTCAATTGATGGTGAGCGTCTTTTGAAATTAACTCCATGTATGTTATCTCTGTTTTTGTTTCTTTAATAAACAAATGCATTGTCTTAAACCTCAAGAGGGAGGGAGAGGGGAGCAAAAAGGCATGTTCTGGTGGATATTAGGGGTGTGCAAAGCGGGCTGTATTTGATTTGGATTCGGCCCACTTTGGGGGGCAGTGATTCTATTCATTGATTCAGATCACTGTCTCGATTTTGATTCTGCTGAATCTGAAGATTCGATGCTGATTTGGAGATTAGGCACAGCTTTAAATGTTTTTTCTACATACCTCGAGGTGCCAGGCGTGGCTCGTGAACACTGCGGTGGTGGGGCGGATGGAGCATCTCACAGGAGCATGGGATCTGGAAGTGGACTGGGTGTACTTCCGGTTCACTTCCAGGTCTGCTGCTGAGCACCCAGGGGATGCCGCTGCCCCCTCCCCCTGGCTCGGTGATCAGCTATGGGGAGACCCTGGGTGCCCCCCCAGACTCAGGTGGCACCAGTCGCGCACGGGGGGGCCCACCACTGAGCATGCTGGGAACACCTCCTGTGGGACACTCCATCCGCCCCACTGTCTGTGTTCAGAAGCTGCCTGGTACCTTGAGGTATGTAGATAAAACATTTCAAGCTGTGTCTATGTCCAAATCATCAAATCTCTCCAAATCGATTTGGAGTCTTCCACTTTGATTCAGAGAGATTAAAGGGTCTCCTGATGAGACTCGGCTGCTGAATCGGGCCAAATCTTCACCGAATCGAATTGGCGACTGAAGCTTTGCGCAGCCCTCATGGATATTACACTCTTGCCACTTTAGTTCCTAGAACTACTTGTGTTTACTAGAAGTGGCTCGAGGGAAAATTTTTCCTTGGGAGAATCCCTCTAGATTTTTTTTCCCTTAGAGAATCTGCGTCCTGGACAGCATTGAGAAAGCGTAGAGTAGTCTGTGGGACAAAAAGTAGAATATGAAATGAAACTATAAAACTAGGGCCTTCTTTTTTTCTCTTCTAAAGATGTGTACTCAAAGCCGTTGAGGTAGACTGTACTTGACAGGTTTTGCTTGGAAGGGCTTAAACTTGAAAGGCATGAGGATTCAGTGTCATAAGAGTATTGGACAATGAGAGAATATTGTAAAACAGGCTATAACACAATTTGTGAAAGAAGTGGCAGGTGTTTATCATAGAGAACCCAAGAAGAGCATCCGTGAAAGAAGGCATGAAGTCAGCAAAGGAGTCAAAGTGACATCTCATGAAAGAGATTATATAGTGCAAAAGAAACATGCAGAAGATCAAACAAGGGAAGAACAGCAGGCAGAGCCTTACTGATGAGAAACTTAAATTTGCATGTGTTATATCAAAGTATAACTCCTTCTGATACCCCAATTTTGGACTCTAATGATAGTCACATGAGTAGCATCTTTTTCGTTTGATTTATTTTTTGCATTCAAAATGTGGCATTTATGAAAGTTAAGGCTCACCAAAAATTTAAAAATAAATTCTTGCCTGTTAAGGTATTTATGGTTCATCTTACATATTTTCTCCTCTTGACTAGGTGCTAGATACCATGCCTTGTTGATTCCTAATTGTCCAGGGGCTGTGACTGACCTTGCAAATAGTGGATACCTAGCAAGGATATTACAGCACTTCAGCACAGAGAACAGTAGGTAAACCCTATTGGAGATCTTTGGGGGTTTTTTGTGCATTTTTGTTCAGTAAAATCTAGAATCTGTTCATTATCATTGGTCAATGCAGGATTTCATTTACTTTACGTTGGAAGTTTGTAGTAGTTTGTAAACTAGTGATGACATACCTATCAGGGTTTGGATTATTTACATACCATATGCACCTGGATCCAAGATGACTTTGAATTTAAGGTGACCACCCAATGATTTGATTCTGTACATGGAAAATTATTAGTATGTTATTTTCCATATATAGAATCTAATTGTGGGAGGGTAATACTAAATTTGTTTCCACATTGCTGTGGTGGGGAAAGCAGATGGAGGGGGGGCGGGAGGAGAGAAGCAGCTTTGCCCTTCCAATACCTGCCCCTTGGTCCCTGCTCCCCTGCCATTGCTCCCCTCCCCCATGCTGCTTGTCTCCATTGCTGCCACTTGGCCTATGTGGTGGCTCTGGCCTGGGGCAGAGCACACAGTGGCCCTGACCCCAGCCAAGCAGTGACAGCAGTCCATGGCCTGGATTGGGGCGAGAGCTGTAGCCATGGCAGTCTACCCCTGGCTGCATGCTATGTGGTCTGCCCCACTGAACAAGCCACCTTGAGCCACCCAGGCCCCAAAATGGCAGCAGCTGTGGCAACAGCTCCAATCCTGGGCCCAGGTCAGGGCCAAAGCTGCAGCAGCTGCCTGACACGGGTTGGTATTTGAATCCAAGACAAGGGTTCCCCCACATTATATTTAAAATCCAGGCACTTAAGTGTTGTAGTCCCGTTGAGCTCAAGTGCATGACATAGACTTAAAGTTAAGCATGCACAGAACTGTACAGGATGGTGGTCAAACTTTGTAAAACTGACAAGCAGAAAAACCATTGAAACCAGAGAACACAAATGAAATGGCATAAATTCACTTTCGGAAGGCAAACTACAGTAATATGAGAGATCTTGTTTGATGCTGTTACTTTCAGGGTATTTACAATTAAGTACATTTCTCAAATGCTTTCTTATTTTCTTTAGAGCCTATTTGTGCTGTTGGACACGGAGTTGCTGCCTTATGCTGTGCCACAAATGAGGATAAATCCTGGGTATTTCATGGATACAGCCTGACCGGGGTAGGTTTGGTCGAGAGTGAGATTTCTTAAAGCCAAGAGCAAGATTTCTTAGAGTAGCTTCTTGCCATGCGAGGATTTTACCAACTTCTTGCCATGTGAGGTGTGAGAGAGCTGTGCCACAATAAGTGATAGTGCATGATATTTTATATTAGGGTTTGAGACCCTTTGGTCCACATCAGACAATTGATCTGGTGTGTTTGCAGTTTTGGAACACAGACTTTATCAGGATTGGCCCTGACAGGAGGTATCATAGGATGGTGAGCTGTGTAGGGGGATCTAAACTGTATATACAAGGGGTCTTTTGCATTTTCAGTGTTGTTCTGTGAGCAGTACCATTCTCACATTTTCACAAACCACAAATAAGGTGACACAACTTCTGAGCAGACTCACTGCAACCTTTCTGGCTGATATTTAGGGGCTTTAGGAGCCACAGACTAGTTTGACTATTCAGTTTCATAGATTCATAGATGTTAGGGTCAGAAAGGATGTCAGTAGGTTATCGAGTCCAACGCCCTGCCCTGGGCAGCAAAGAGTGCTGGGGTCAGACAACCTTGTCCAGTCTCCTCTTGAAGCCCCTCAAGGTAGGGGAGAACACCACCTCCCTTGGAAGCCCACTTCAGATTCTGGCAACCCTTACTGTGAAAAAGTTCTTTCTAACGTCCAACCTAAACTTGCTCTCTGGCAATTTGTGGCCATTGTTCCTAGTTACTCCAGGGGGTGCCCTAGTAAATAGAGCATCTCCTATTCCTTGCTGCCCTTCCCTGATGAATTTATAGGCAGCCACAAGATCCTCTCAGATCAACTATGACTCCAAGATCCCTTTCTGCTGCTGAGAAGGCCATCCCCCCAGCCTGTAAGTCTGGTGGTTCTTTTTCCTCAGGTGCAGCACTTTGCACTTGTCTTTGTTGAACTGAACCCTATTCCTTTCTGCCCATTTTTCCAACCTGTCCAGATCTGCCTGGATCCATTCCCTACCCTCTGGTGTGTTAACTTTACCCCATAATTTGGTATCATCTGCGAACTTGGACAGAGTGCTCTCCACTCCCTTGTCCAAGTCACTGATGAAGACATTGAATAGCACTGCTCCAAGGACCAAGCCTTGCAGGCCTCCACTGTCCACATCTGTCTGGGTCAATTTATCAACCCATTCGCCACCACTCTAGGTGCGACCCCTAAGCCAATTTGCTACCCAGCTGACTCTGTAATTATCTACATCACAGCCTGTCAGTTTGTTTAGGAGAACAGAATGAGATGCTGTACTGAAGGCCTTCTTAAAGTCTAGGTAGATGACATCTACCTCAACTTCTGCATCTAAGCATTTTGTGACCTGGTCATAAAAAGAAACAAGGTTACTTCCAACCCTGATGTCTATGAATCTATGAATCTATGATCCACCTGCAATGAACCTGTGCTGATTTTCCTTTCAGCGTTATTTCCCTTGGTGGGCTCCCACAAATGTGATCCTTTATGACTTTTTCCAGAGTCTTCCCAAGGATAGAGGTGAGACTAACTGGCCTATAGTTTCCTAGTTCCTCCCTCCTCCCCTTCTTGAAAATGGAGACCCTACACTGGCTCTTTCCCAGTCCTCTGGGACCTGACCGGATTACCATGAGTGCTCGAGCAGCCATGCCAGAGACTCTGCTATGACACTGGCCAATTCCTTCAGCACCCTTGGATGAAGTTCATCCGGGCCCACTGTTTCGAACACATCCATCCCCTCCAAGTGCCCTTTCACTAAGTTTGTGGCCTGATGTCCTGAACACATCCAGCTCCTCCAAGTGCCCCTTCATTAAACCTGTGCTAACAGTTGGTGGGATGGTGTCCCTCCTGTGTCTATCTATGATCCAACTGGGAGATGCATCTTGGTCTATGTCTAGGAATACAGATGCAAATAACTCATTGAAGAGCTCAGCTTTGTCTTCCCTCTCTGTCACCAGTTGCCCTAATTTGTCCTATAGGGGTCCTATGCTATTCTGCGCCTTCTTTTTGCTCCCTATATACCTGAAGAAGGACTTTTTGTTGTCCTTAATTTTTGTTGCCAGCCTAAATTCTAATCCTGCTTTGGCCTTCCTAACTGATTCCCTGCAAGTGCGAACCAGGGAGGTATGCTCCTCCTTGGTAACTAACCCCTGTTTCCACAGCCTGTATACCTCTTTTTTTGCCCTTAGGCTTTCCTGGACTTCCCTGTTCAGCTTCTTGGCCTCTTTGCCCCCTTTTATGTGCAATGGGATTGTCTCCTGTGCCCGTAGGATCGCTTCCTTGAGGAACAAGCACCCTTTCTGGACCCCCACTTCACCAGTGCTCTTGAGTTTTAACACCTCACTAACTAATCTCCTGAGCGCATTGAAATTAGCCTTTCTGAAGTCTAGTGCTTCAGCCCTGGTGGTTAGTTTACCCACCCTTTGCTGGATAGTGAATTCAATTAATCGATGGTCACTGTCCCCTAGGTTACCTTGTACCTGCCACCAAGTCTTCCACTGTAGCTAACACCAAGTCCAGCACGGCGTTTCCCCAGTGGAATCGTATACCTCCTGCGTTGGGTGGAGGTCCTGTATGCAGGTTAAAAACCTACGTGAGCGGTTAGATTTGGCTGACTGCTTCTCCCAGTAGATGTCAGGGTAGTTTAGGTCACTCATGACAACCATATCTCTAGACCGTATGGCCTCTGAGAGCTGCCCAGAGAATTCCAGGTCTAGCTCATCCTCCTGGTGTGGCAGTCTGTAGTAGACCCCTACTACCAAGTTCCTTTTCCCCCTGTCCCCCTTATATCCTGACCCACGCTACCTCGGTTTGGCCCTCCTCTGATCCCATCTTGATTATAGAGGATGTATATTGTTCCTTAACATAGAGAGCAACACCCCCACCTTTTTTCCCCGCTGTATCCCATCTGTACAACCTGTAACCCTCAATGCCTACCACCCAATCATGAGTAGGGTCCCACCAGGTTTCGGGTCAACCAGGTCGAAGTTGTTGCTTGCGAGCAGGAGTGCAAGTTCCCCCTGCTTGTTCCCCATGCTCCTAGCATTAGTGTAGAGACATTTAAGCCCCCTGATAGGTCCCCTTGGTACCCCCCTGTCCTGACGTCTATCGGGCTCCTTAGTGCTTACCTGGACTAGTCCAGTGCATTGCTCATAGCTCGCTGGTCCTAGGTTCTTCTTAGCCTCTGCTTCCCCGTCCCCTGACGAACCTAGTTTAAAGCCCTTCGGAGGAGATCAGCCAACCTGTAACAGAACAGGCTCTTACCTTTAAATGTTTAGTGCCATAAGGCTGACAGTTTGTTTAATTTCCTTTTTTTAAATTTTAAAGGAAGCTCGCTTAGAAAAGGGCTGTTCATGCAAGTTAAAAGAATTTCAAACTAGGGCAGCAGTTACTGATCTCTTACTCATCCTATTGTGCTGCTGTGCTGTGGGGTCTCAGATCTCACACAGACTAAAGCCATCTATGCTAATTTATCAGGGTCATACAAAAGTTTCCTTAATGCAGCTGTTATGGATGAAAATATACATGCACAGTCAGGAAATTATAAATTCTGGTTCTCGTGGAAGCTGTAATACAGGTTCTTTGTATACACATTGGTATAATTGTGTGTGGTATAGTTGGTTTTTAATATAATAATACATACATTGTGATCCAGTTACAGTTGCTATGGAAACAATAGAAATGAGTTTTCTTAGAGGCATGTAAAATCTGAGCCAATATGTTAAACTGTAATCTGTGGGGAAGCTTTCATTAAACGTGCATTCTATAAAAAAGGAAATTACCTGATGATGCAGTTGGATAATAAAATGTACAGTTGAGCAAAAACACTGTCCTGCGTAGCCCAACTGACTATTCTGGAGATACTGTGTGGAAAACAGGTTAGGTCAGGGGCGGGCAATAATTTTGAGTGGAGGGCCACTTACTGAATTTTGGCAAGCCATCGAAGTCCTCAAGGTGGGCAGCCAGGGGAAGATGAATATTAATTTTCTAAATTTTTTAGGGGCCCCACAGGCCAGATAGAATGGCCTGGTGGGATGCATTTGCCCACCCCTGGGTTAGGTGGATTTAATTATGCATGCTATTCTACAGCATCCAGGCTTGTCTTCTCTACCCAGTTTAATTAGTGGTGTGTCTCACGTTCTGCTACGAATGCAGGATGGCAGATCCATAGAGCGAAACAGTGAGAGCTGTCTCTTCAGCACCTTTTAGCTAGTCCTGAAGGCTAAGGGCCACAGCTTTAACTAAAAGCAGAGAAGTTACTCTAGATGTGGAACAAAGGACTTGTTCTGTAGTCCAGGATGTTGCCGTAAAGAATAACTACATTCTATAGTTGTGGAATTTATATGTATCAAATGTATTTAAATATGAACATTATCAAGACCACAAGGAAATGGAAGTCGAGTAGTATGTCATTGGAAAGGGAATTTTCTTACTTTTGTACTAAGATTTTGGATTGGTTCTATGAACTCAGTGTCACAGAGCTCTGAAAACTGTTAAATTATCTGCCCTTGGTGGCATAGCTGCTGCTGCTTTTGGTTTAGCAGACAGGAATGTTAATATTAAAAAATATATATCCTTATGAGGGTTCCTATAAAAACAAAAAAACCAGCACAGTGGGAAAATCTAATATACCACAGAGTATTTAATTAGAAGCCATAAAATGGCTCAAAGTATTTGAGCTCTTTTATAGCATAAGTCTATAATTCCATCCTTACTGATGATATCCTGTGATTGCTATGCTTTGCTAATCTCTCATAAGTGCAGTTATGTTGAATTTAATGTAGATGAGGCTCAAGTAATAAAGATTATATTGAAGATCATATAAGATTGCTATTATTGCAAAACAACTTGAAAGCCATCAATTGGAAGTGAAATTATATTTGTAATTGCAGAGCTTGATAGTATATTGTAATATAGTTATCAATTCAACCACTGTAGTGGTTCCTAGAGTCTTTGGACCAAAAAAATCACTGTCAATCTTCAACATTTCTTGCAGATTACCATATCCCCTCACCATCATATTTTTATTTGAAAAAAGGGAGCAGGGAGGAAAGCTAGCCCAGTGGTAGAGGTGATAACCTGGGACCCAGGTACAATTTCTTGCCCCTGTCCTGTTACTGACATTGTGTGTGACCTTGAGCAATGTCCTCTGTAGGAGCCATGGAATTACAAATTCCCCTAGATTATTTGTAATCTTCAGTTCCTTTTAATATAGAGGTGACCAGGATGCAGCCCATGTGCCAGATCTGGCCTGTGGAGCTGTCATCTGGCCTGCGGGGTACCCATTGTGTCCAGAAATTTGGTGGTGGGGGAGTGGTCACAGAATTTAATTGCCAGATGATGTGGCCGTGTCCCCTGCAGGGCTGGATGAATTGGACATTACTGCTTTAGCCCTGTTGACACAAATATAATGTTGGTATGGTCACAAAATGAATGTTTTGAAAAGGGGATTGTGGTGCAGGCTTCTTACAATAGCCCTTCAGACCACCAGTGATCTGTGGACTGTAGTCTGGGAACATCTAGCCTAATGGGTTACTTCAGAAGCTTCTCTTCTGGTTTTCTAAGCACAGTGCCCTAGTCTATATCTATAACACGGGCAAAGGTGTTCACTGGTCATTATTTGTAGAGAGCTTGTAATAGGGGAGTAGAGAAGAGCAGCAAACCCCATGACATCCACTAGGGACATGGCTTTCCCATTCTGCTAAAATAGGATGCTTTCATATGGTATCAATGCAAAACCAAAAGATTGGTTGAAGCCCCAGAATCTTGAGCATATACACCAAGGATGCACCAAAAATATATCCTCATTGAGAAGGTCCCATGAGCATTTCTAATTTCCTTCCTCATTTGAGTGTGCAGCAAGCTTCCAAAAAACATATTTTTATATGCTTTAAGGGAGAAAAACCTTTTGGGAGGAAAGAAGTATGGACAGAAAAAATGAATTGTGAAGAGTAGGCTTACCTTGTAAATTGTGCTTGGTTTTCTTTCTAAAAGCAAAGTAGACTTATCTACTTTTCCTATTTGTTTTTCAGCCTTCTGTGTATGAACTGGTAAGACGGGCCAATTTTTCCAGTTTGTCCATTATTGTGGAAGACTTTGTGAAAGACTCTGGAGCTACATTTAGTGGTATATCACTTCTGAATCATCTAGCGTTACTTTTAATGAATGGGTATTACTGGTGAAATAGTCTTTGTGCCCTTGCTATCTATGCATATGAGCAGGACCATAATAGAATAACTGTTATTTCCCCCCATGAAATACAAGATATAACACCTATAAGAAAAGGCCTTGGTATTTTAAAAATGTTTTAAAATCACAACTCTTTGCCCATATTGGTGATAATTCCCTGTGGCTGGATTGTACCTGAACCCGATGCAACTGTAAAAGGCAGTTAGTATCTGCATCCATCTATACCAAGGGTGTCCAACCTTTTTGAATGTGGGGCTGGATCATGAACTTTTTATCACCTACCCTCCCGAAACGAAAGTATATTGTTTACTTTCGTTTCCCGTTGCAGCACCTCGGGTCTCAGAAAACAGCTTGGAGGGCTACATGTTGGGCAAGCCTGATCTACACAGTTCTGTTAATGCACTTCTCATGGCTCCAGGGTAGCTGGACATGCTTTTTAGATTTACATGCACCAAAAAATTATTAGTTACTTGGCCTGTTTTGATTCTGTGCCTGTGGACTGTTTGTGAACAGAATATTCAGTAGCCTGTTGAAACGGACTTTGCAATACTAGTTTTTTCTCAAGTTGATATATTGTTTTTGTGTGTTGTGTATCAAACAGTTTGACTTCCTTTTTTAAATAAATTAGTAACAAATCTAACTTAAACAACAAATTTAATGTTTAAAGATCAGTTAGTCCTCTAAAATGTACATAAGGACAAATATTTGTCATCTGTCAAAAGTGCTCCCTTAACTCAAGTCACTGTCCACAGGGGAGTCTCATGTTCTTCTCTTCATATCAGCCTGACAGTTTCTTTATGTTTCAGTCTATGTTAAACTTTGGTGTTTCTTTAGTGGCAGGTTGACTTTAAAATGAAAGACCTCTGGTACCAGGACTCAAAAAAAACCAATTCATTAAGGAGGGGAAAAAAATCCAATCTTAACTTTCTACCCCAACTTAAATGCCTACTGTTCAGCTTTGTTGCTGAAAGCTCAGAATGGTTTTTCACTTTGCTCTATCTATGTGCCATATTTACAGTGGTACTGAAGATCCTTGGAGAAAATGAAATAATATAGTGTAGAACAGTGGTCCTCCAGCCTTTTGGCCCAATGGGCCAAATGAGTGGGGCAGGCCTTGTATGTGGGCTGGGATAGAGTCCTGCATGTCAAGAATGGGCCCTGGGGCCCAGCACTGCTCCCTCCTGCCCCCCACACACAGATTGGTCTCTGGGGGCCTGGCATTGCCCCTGCCCAATCCTACCCACTGGGATTGGGCCCTGGGGCTGCCCACTTCCAATCTCAGCGTGTGGGAGGCTGGGCTCTGGGACCTGGCACTGCCCCTCCCTGGCCACCAACACTGGGATTGGGTGCCTGATCAGTACACAGGGCTTGGGGCTCCCCATGGGTTCATAAATTTGGTCTTGGGGAAGAAGTCCCACTGCTGTCTGCCACCAGATTTCTAGACCTGTGGGGAGCAGGTCAGATGACGCAGGGCTGCAGGTCGAATCTGGCCCATGGGCTGAGGATTGAGTATCCCTGTTGTAGAAGGGTTGTGTTCCTTCGTTATAGTTGTCTGTCATGTTCCCTGGTTTGTTTGGCATCTGAAACTGGAAATTCAAGTGTAATTATTTTGATTCTGCTCCTGAAAAAGAGAAGCCTAAAGTATTTAAACTACTTTTTGTTTTGTCTTTTGTTAATGTGACTTGAAATGGACAAAAGTTAGGAATTCTATTTGTGTGATTTCTAATGGAAACAGAAACAGACCTTTTTTGTAAGACATGCTGTCATGCATATACACTCTGACAAGAAAATAGTGCTAATATCTCATCCAACTCCCACGTGCCCTTTTTTCCTGTTTTTATCACAAGCTATTTGTGTGTGTTTTCCCCCTCTTCGATCAGCTTTTTTCTCCACATAATTTATTCAGTAATAATAACCCAGCATCACCTCCGTAGTGACTGCTTGTGATGTCATATATAGAGGTGCATCGATACATTGGTCTAATATTGGATCGGCACCGATTATAAAGAAAATTGACTGTATCGGGAATCAGCATGATGTGGCCGATTAAATGTCCCGTGCATGTGTGCGGCTGCAGGGCAGCGTGTTGGTGGTGAGGAGTGCAGCTGTGTGTGCAGCTGGTGAGTCTGTTGTGGTGGAAGGGGCGTGGGGGGCGCAGATCAGGGCCCCTGTGGTGAGGGAGGGAGTGGGGTTGGGGCTGAGGTAGGCGCTGCCCAGCGGGGGTGGGGGACAAGACAGAGCCGTAGCTCGTCTGGGGGGTGCAGGGGTTGCGTGTGCCCCCAGGATCTGCGCAAGGGAGGGTGGGCTGCTGTTGCGGGCTGGGGCCGGGGCTGCACCAGGCTGTTCCCACCTGGGCTGGGCTGGGCTGTGCTCGGGGCAGACAGCAGTGGCACTGGGAGGAGGGGTTGGGGGGGCTACGGCAAATTTTGGGTTGGCTGTAGCCCCCTCCCAGCGCTGCCACTACCTACCCCGAGTACAGCCCTAGCCCACAGCTGCAGCCCGCCCCGTCCTGCACAGATCTGGGGGCACATGACCCCTCCCCGATGCCCTCCTGGGGTGTGTGCAGCGGTGAGAGCTGCCCCCCACTCCCTGTGGCTCCGTCCTATGTTCTGCCCCACCCCACCCCAGCTGGGCAGTGACTGCCCCAGCCCCACTTCCTCTTTCACCACAGGGGCCTTCCCTCCTTCCCCCATGCCACTTCTCTCCCCTTCCACCACAACAGACTTACCAGCTGCATGTAGCTTTCCATGCTGCGGGGCTGCGTGTTGGAAATCAGATCGATATCTGCCAATATGCCTCCTTAAAAATCGGCTATCGGTATTGGCCTCAGAAATCTCTATTGGTGCACCCCTAGTCATATAGACTTGGCTGAAGCATTACTGAAGCGTGTGGGACAAGAGGAACATACCCGGTACTGTACTATTTTTACCTCCTTACATTTGGATAAGTAGCAGTGGTCACAAAGAAGTGGCGGGGAGAGGGGAAGGAAGTGAGACAGGTTAATGGAATCTGGTAAAATAATAGTACGTGTAAAAATAAATAAATAAATAAATAAAAAACCCCACCACACTCTTTGGTAGAGAAGAGTTGGGACATGCATAGTGAAATAGCATGTTTCTAGTAAATATTGAGATAGAAGGCTGTTTTCACAATAGAGAAAAAACAAGTACCTTGCCACAGACCCTTTTTTTTAGGGTAGTGCTTACTTGGTCTCTTCAGTGAGACCCTTTTATAATGCATTGCAAGATGACTGGAAGCTAAAGAATTGCACTTCAGTCTTTTAAACCAGTGTATCTCCTTAAAATGCAGATTCCCTCTGACAAAAAAGGTGCAACTGAAGGGCCAGTCCTGCTGTTGTTCAATGCAGGAATCTCCTCATTAAAGTTTCAGAAAACTTTGATTAGATCAGATTTTCAGTATTGGCGCACTGATATTTTTTTTTTCCCACCCCCCCAGATCAGTCAGTCCCCAAACAGGTAATTTCATTTGAAATATCATGTTTAGTACAGCTTTATTAGATGGGTGAAATCTGAATTAAATGATATCCATTCATATCAATATTCAATGTCTTTCTTTTTTTCCTTGGATACAGCCAGCAAGCCAGATGCTATACACATAGTGTTGGACAGACACCTGGTTACAGGACAAAACGAGAATTCCACTATTGCAGCAGTCCACAACCTTGTTCTTCTCTGCAATGGCAGGGGAGGAAATATAGGTGAAGTACTGTGGGAATGGATTAATTGACCAGGAAGTGCCCTGAATTTATTTTCAGGAATAACGTTGAATAGTGCCGCAAAAAGGAATATAGTCCTGGTATTAGTAGCAGAGATGTGACTCTTCTATCATCTGGTGTACCTTCCAGTTAAGTCCTCAGTTTCTGTTCGCTAACAGTGGTATTGACAGGTTTTTATCAGGTAAACATTCAAAACTGCTCAGAGACTGATAAATGGAAATGTAGAATTGGGTTCACAAGATCTGTGCACTGAGGGGATACCTTTTGTGTAGCTCGTTGCACTTTAGGCTATTTTTTGGACATATCCACATATTTGGAATAGTAGGAATGAACAGTGTATTCCTACATTGTATTTATTCCCTTTCCTTGTTTCTGCCTGTAAATAAGCACCAAAATCTGCTTTGGTTCTGGGAAGGCTCTTCTAACCTACATTCATCTCCTACATGTTAACAGTTTTATTTTTTTTTGTTTGTTTGTTTGTTTTGAATGGAAGGAGCAGGTCTCCTTGTAGCTGGGATGGATGAAGGACCAGACTGAAGAGTCTCATATCTGTGAACTGGATCTCTTGCTGACAGATGCATCTTGGCATTTCTGTTATGGACTAACAGTCAGTTTAATGTGAAGAGGCAATCTCTATGTTTGTACATGTGGAATGAATGGATGGAACCTGTGAAATAAGAAAGCATTGAAATGCAGTTTACCTTATGGATGATTCTGATAGTCTCACTTTATTAGCACATTTTTTCTCCCCTATTCTGATCCTGCTCTTAAGTCTGCACTGACTCTTGAGTTTGTTCGGGGGTTTTTTTTAAAGAAAACATTTATGTTTATAGTACCAACATTTTTACTTGTAGTGAGAAATTGACTCCATCCAGGGCCACATTGTCAACACTTATTGGACCTTGGTAATTCTTCATCTTGGCAAAGCATAGTTCTGAAATATGCTGTAGTGAGGCACATTCATTAATCAGCAGGAGTCTTTTTGATTTTAATATAAAAATCCCTAGTTAATGCTGCATTTAAATGGTTTCAAGCCTATTATAGTCCCCTGTCCAATGAGTCATAAAGCTGGTTCCAGACTCTAATGGATTTATCAAATGGCGACATACATGAAATATGAAGGAGAACGTTTAGTCAAATC